ACTCTCTGCCGTTGTCTTTACGCTGTCTAGACTCTACTGACTCCTTTAAAAAGCAGCTGAAGACATTTTTATACAAACGGGCTTTTAATTAATTTTAACTTGTATGACTGATCTTATTGTAAAGCACTTTGTGATTTTTATCTGTGAAATGGGCTATATAAATAAATTTTACTTACTTACTCCATTAGTCTGACCTCATATCCTTTTCCCCTTTGCCTCGGCCCATTTTAACGAGCTGTGGTGCAGAGGAGACGACACTGTTTCTCCATCGTGGCCACACGTGGCTTCTTCTCTGCATGATGGAGCTGTAACATGACATGTATACAGCACACCGAGCTGCTAGCGGACGCTGTTTCTGAGTGTGTTTCCGAGCCCGTGCACTGATTTATCACAGAGTGGTGAAGGTCACAGCTATCGGCCGCATCACTTATCAAATCAATCAAATGTTTGGTTTGTAAAATGAGGTTTGAGTCGACTTTATTTATTTTGTCTTACAAGACGCAAACAAACCTAAAATGTTCCTATAAACTGTTTGAAAATATAAAATTCAGTGATTTGTAGGTCAGCCAGTTGATTAGACAGCAGCTGATGAAGAAGGCGTGTCTGAGCTCTGGTGTGCGGTGTGATGTCACATGATTATGTAACTCTGGTCTGTGTCTCTGCAGCGAACTCGGGCTCTCTGCAGGGTCCAAACACCCCTCAGTCCAGCAGCAGCTCCCTGACCGATGCCCCCGGAGACCTGAAGCCCCCGACCCCCGCCTCCACCCCGCAGAGCCACATGGCCCCCCAGCCTGGAAACAGGTAGGGGCAGAGCTTCAGTGTTAAACACACCTGAGCAAACTGCACATGAAGAACATGAAGAAGCCACAACAGAGTGGAACTTAAAGGTTTTCGTTCGCATCACGATTGCACAGCTGAAACTGTGATGCCTCCGAATTACACATCAGGCTCAGTCTGTTGGTGCAGTAACCTCACAGGCGCCATGTTATTGGTCACATGATGTCACTAAAAAGGCTCCAGAAGGACCAGCTCAGGTGAAGCTAGCAGACAGCTAGCAGTTACAGCTGCCTCTGTTGCCATCCATCTGCAGGTTTTATGCTGCGTGTGGAGGTAATGATGTGAACCCGAACACTTTCATGTGACTCTCATGTCTGTGTTTTATGTTTAGGAGCGTGGGAGGAGTCAGTGTGCAGGACCCATTCTCTGAGGGTAGCGATCCAGCCTTCCACAGCAAACGAGGCCTGGGACCCGGCGGTGCTCCCTACCAGCAGGGAGGTGGTCCAGTAGACCCTATGAGGATGCAGTATGATGCCAACAAAGACCCTTATGGAGGAGTGAGGAAGGGTGAGGAGGGAAGAACTGAGGAGGACGTGTTTGTTCGAGAACCAGGAACACTGATAACACTTTGTGTTTTCAAGAAGCAGTAATCTATGCAGTTCTACTGTATTTAGTCCACTGCTTCCCCCTGGTGGTTGAAGCTTGAACTTTCAGTCTGACTGCAGTCTGACTGCAGGAGCTGCTGCAGATTACATCACATTATCGTACATCACCACCGAGCCAGTTTCACATCAGGGTTCATAGTTTAACACATAGCTCAGGATCAGTGTGTCTTTCTGGGGTTCACAGCAGGTTTTTGATTCTGCCGTCAGGTCCGGGTCCCGGCGAGGCCTTCAGTCCCGGTCAGATGCCCAGCGGTGGAGCCATGCAGGACATGTACCACCGTGGGCCACCCTCTGGGCCGCTGGCAGGGATGGGCCCCAGACCCCAGTACTCCTACAGCCCCGGCTATGAGCGCAGGTGAGATTCTGCTCAAGATTTAAAGAAGCGTTAGCCCCACACAGATGTGAGTCTGTCTGAACTCAGCCACTGTATTCCCACCAGTTAGACTAAAAAAATGTCTTTCGTGTTTCACAGGAGTCCAGTTTTTCTGAATGTATTTAAAATCTATGAATGAAAAAGTGCACATAACTGTGAGTGATTCAGTTTTGCCCTGCAGCACGTCTGCTGTTTGTACACACACAGTTTGGTTTCTTTTTGTTTGTATTAAAAAGTTTAGCCGTGTAACTGTTTATCATCATGGCACTGTCAACTCTATGAACCAATTATTAAAAATGTTTTAGAAGAAGAAATAATCTCAAAGTGCAAACAAGGCTTAAAAAAAGTCTTAGGTGACAACTTTAAACACGGGAAACCAGCTGAAGCGTCTCTACTGCAGGAGTTCACCTGTTTGTTTCCCACAGGCCGGAACATGCGATGGGCCCTGAGGGAGGCATGGCGCCCCCCGGAGGCCAGAACAGCATGGGTCCGTCTGCAAACGAAGCCAGCATGTTTCCCACCAACAGATTCCCCCACCAGAGGTGAGAGCGTGGATGTAACCAGCCCTCAATTATAGAGCTTTCATGTGATGTCATCTTTGTCATTTGTGTGACACTGTCTGTTCACGGGAGATTTGATCCAAATATCAGATCATAGTCTAAACCCGGCCAAGTTTAAACAGTTTAACATGATTATGTGATCATTTAAGTTTCCTGTGTTGGCTCTTCAGGCACGGCCATGACGGTTATGGGCAGCAGTATCCTCACGGCATGGCCTACAGTTCCCATCAGTCCCTGTACCCTCAGCAGCAGGTAAGCGCCTCCTAAACGAGTCCCGATTGGTGTGATAAATCACGTCACTGAGGGGTCTGGGGGTACTTCAGGTCTGGATTCATTTCTGGTGTTTGTCTGCAGGGATACAAGCGTCCAATGGAGGGGATGTACCCGCCAGCGAAGCGTCATGAGGGCGAGGCGTTCGGCGTGCAGCAGTATGGCTCTCAGCAGCCCGACATGTTCCCCGTCTATGGGGGAGGAGGTGGGGGCTACATGGGCCCTGAGCGCCGGCCCATCCAGGGCCAGTACCCGTATCCTTACAGTCGAGACCGCCAGGGCCCCCCGCAGCACAGCATGATGAGCTCAGGGCCGGCGGCGGTGTCTGGGGGGTCCGGGGAAGTGCCGCAGGCCAACATGTGGCACCCCAGGACAGATATGGGCTATACGTACAGCCGGCAGGGTCAGGGACCCGCCTATCGAGGGGATGACCAGGAGAGCAGGGCTCCACAGGACGACCAGTGGGCCCCCGGTCACCCGAGCCAGCGCCAGACTCCATACCCCCCCCACTCTTCAGCCGCCAGCGCCACCTCCATTCCACCTCTGCCCTCCAGACAGCCTCCCGCTTCTTTCCAGGCCACACCCACCATCCCCAACCACGTGACTCGCTCTCATAGCCCCTCCACATTTCCCCGGCCCATGGGGAGCTCGCTGTCACCCAACAGCGCACCCTACCTTCCCTCCATGAAGAAACCACCAGTGCTGGGAGCGCCGCAGGGACCGCTGACCTCTCAAACCGTCTCACTCATCAACAGGGAGGTCAGTTTCCCCCATGGCTCTGTGGAGGCCACGCCCCCCAAACTGAAACCACGGCGACGGCTGACCGCTAAGGACACAGGTGCGGCACACACACAGAGACACACACATCAGAGGGAGTTGTTTCTTCTTCAGGTTTTCATTCAGCCGGCAGGCAGCCGGGGTCAGCTGACACTCACTCTGTGCTGTTATTGCTCAGGAACCCCAGAGGCGTGGCGGGTGATGATGTCACTGAAGTCTGGCTTGTTAGCAGAGAGCACATGGGCATTGGACACCATCAACATCCTGCTGTACGATGACAGCACCGTCGGCTCCTTTAGCCTCCCGCAGGTCAGACCCTCATCTTCCTTACTGCTCATCGTCCGTGTGTCTGATGTCTGTCAGTCTGACCTTTCTCCTCTTCCTCCTGCAGCTGCCGGGCTTCCTGGAGCTCATTGTGGAGTTTTACCGCCGCTGCCTGATCCAGATCTTCGGCATCCTCAAGGAATATGAAGTGGGAACTGCGAGGCAGGGTTCCCTGCTGGGGCCCCTCCCTGAGGAGGAGGAGGTGACAGAGGGGCTGCTAGCTGCTGCGTCAGAATCCAACGGCCAGACAGCGTTGGAGCAGAAGATTCAGAGGTGGTCAGCTGAGCAGGCGGAGGACATGCCGCCACCGCTGCTCATGCCTTCTGAGGAGGAGGTGAAAGAACCTGTGGTCAAAGAAGAAGCACAGGTGAAGGAGGAGGAGCACATGGAGGAAGCAGAGGCCCGCCTCCAGCAGGCCAGCAAGTACGACAAGCTGCCAATCAGGGTTGAGACCGGCGATGGGTGGGAGGAGGTGGAGGAGCGCTGGGCCAAGTTGAACCGACCCAATGGCTTCATCAGCGGCCTCCTCCACTGGAAGGCCGGAGGAGGAGACTCCACCACTCACATCTTGACACACTTCGAGTCCCGCACAGGAGACTTTGTCCCTCTGCACCCACCCGAGTGGGAAGAGAATGCAGAGGGACAAGAGGGTGAAACAGGCAAGGAAGAGCTGGGCGGAGGAGAAGAGCAAAACCAGCCAGACGGAGGAGAAGGTAAGACCTGAAGAGAGGAGATATGGACATTTATCAATATTATCACCAATAAAATGATTCAAGTGATTATTGATTGTCAGACTTTAAAGGAAACTTTTTATCACCTTAATCCTGAAACTGTGCATCCTCTAACTTTCTTACATTTTGCAATTTTACATCTACAATAAATAAAAAATACATAAAACTATATAATTTAGTGACGGAGGAATAAAGTTACATTAAATACAAATTTTACATTTTCAAAAAATTTTATGTCACAGTATTTATATATATATATGTCACAGTGGGACGGAGAGATTTCGCAGGTCTTTCCTCCCCACTGCTGTCAGACTCCACAACAAAGACTTTAACTGAACAAACACACACATCCACACATGTGCAATAACACTAAGTGCAATAATCTTTTCTGGCATCGTTGTATTTTTACTCAGTTGTATATAGCATTCGTATTCTATTTTTTATCTTATTGTATATTTTTATTCTATTTTATTCTACTGTATATAGTATATTATTTTATTCTATTCTGTACAGTTGTGTACTGTATTTATTCTTATTGTATTCTAATTTTTGCCTCATAACTTTTGCACTGTCCACTTCCTGCTGTGACAAAACAAATTTCCCACGTGTGGGACTAATAAAGGTTATCTTATCTTATTTAAATTTTTTTAATTTTTCTTTAATTGCAAAATTTTAGTACTTAACATCATGAAGTTATGACTTGTTTCTCAATTTTAATTTGATGGAACATTATATTTTGACATTTATAAATTTACATTTTTTGCAATTTAAAAAAATTTTTTTTTTAAAAAATCTACAATTTGTTCCACCACTAGGTGTCTCTGTTGCCCCTTTAATCTCACTCTGCTCTCTTTATCCGCTCAGAGGTCAGAGGTCAGGATTCACAAGCTCAGAGTCCTATCAGCCAGCTGGAGGATGAGCCTCGCTGCTGGGATGAGGCCCCGCTGTCCACCGCTGAGCCGTGGCAGGACGCGCTGGCCAAACGCTGCGTCTGCATCTCCAACATCGTGCGCGGCCTCTCCTTTGTGCCCGGGAACGATGCCATGCTATCACGGCATCCTGGGCTGGTGCTGATCCTGGGCCGACTTGTGCTGCTGCACCACCGCCACCCCCGCAGGAAACGGACTCCGCCCACCTACCAGCGGGAGGAGGAGCAAGGTCTGGCGTGCAGCCGGGACGAGTGGTGGTGGGACTGCCTGGCGGCGCTTAGGGAGAACACACTGGTGACGCTGGCCAACATCTCGGGCCAGCTGGATCTGTCGTTGTACCCAGAGAGCATCTGCCTGCCTATCCTGGACGGGCTACTGCACTGGATCGTGTGCCCATCTGCCGAGGCGCAGGACCCGTTCTCCACGATGGGCGGCTTCTCGTCACTCACGCCACAGAGACTCGTGTTGGAGTGTTTGTGCAAGCTGAGCATTAAGGACTGCAACGTGGACCTGCTGCTCGCCACGCCGCCCTTTATTCGCCAGCAGAAGCTCTTCTCCACACTGGTGCGTTTGGTGGGCGAAAGGAAGAGTCAGGTGTGCCGGGAGATGGCAGTGGCTGTGCTGTCCAACCTCGCGCAGGGCGACCCCACGGCGGCAAGGGCGGTTGCTCAACAAAAAGGCAGTGTGGGCACACTCATTGGCTTCCTGGAGGACTGTGTGGCCATGGCCCAGTACCAGCAGAACCCGCACAGCCTGCTGCACACTGCTGTGCCGCCAGAGCCGCCCAGCATCAACATGATGTGCCGCGCCGCCAAAGCATTGCTGGCCATGGCACGGGTGGAGGAGAACCGGACGGAGTTTGTTCTATATGAGAGCCGGCTGCTCGACATCTCACTGTCGTCCGCACTCAACTCCTCTGTGGCGGCCATCATGTGTGAAGTACTGTTTAAAATCGGCCACTCATGACACAAACACCACCACGGAGCGTGCTCAGTAGCACTGTAAGCAGCTCCGCCCGTGTGACAAACTGGCTCCTATTATATTTTTATTTAAGAACAGAAAAGAAATGTTTTTACGTACAAATGAATATATATAGAATCTATAAAGCTCCGACTCCATCTGCAAATGTTTGTTTGGAATTTTTAAGTAATTTTAATACAAAATATTTAATACTTGTATTTTTAATTTTCTAATTGTTTCATCGGTTTCTTGTTTCGTTTGAACCAAAGTGTGACGGTGGCTCGGGTTCCGGCTCTCTTCAATGTTTTTTTTAAACATTCGCGGTTGTTCCTTTCTGTTTGCAAGGCTGTTTGGGGGGGAGGGGTTAGTTAGATTTGGGGGCGGGGTTATTTAAATAGTGTTGTAGATAGGTCTTTTTTGTTTTTTCTCACGTGGTATGACAGAGGAAATACTGATGTTCAGTCACGTACTTTGTTCTGGTGCAATATGTTTGCTTGGGCGTTTTTTTTTTTTTATGTGAATTATTTGACCATCTGCCGTTTGACCATCAGTATTTTTGCCGAACCACAGCAGTATCAGCCAATGGGTTTTTAAGAACTTTGTTTTGTCCACCAATCAGATCCCTCCACCGTCATCCTCCTCCTGTAAATAGTTGATGTGCATTGAGCTCCAGAAGATGGCGTCCCGACTCTCTATGAATTTATAATCACAACTCTGAACATTCGAGTTTCTGTATTTAAGGACAAAAAAACTCATCTTCAGGATGTTTATTGGGGTCTGATCTGACAGGGTGTGTTTGATTTGAGAGACTGTATGTACAGGAGGTACGGGGGTCAGTTGGGGCAGGGCAGGCAGAACTGTACTTATATCATGTTGCTGACATCAAAACAGTTATAAGAAATGTAAAGAGAGAGGAAAAAAAGAAAATCTCTACATCCAGAACGTCTCCTGTTTGATTTGACAGATGCTGTTTCTTCAGTATGAGATCTTTATATGTTCCACGACATGTTAAAGAATAAATGTACATGAACTCTGGTTGAGCACTGTGAGCGCAGCTCTGAGCTTGTTTACTTTGGCCTTAATTTGGTGCTGACTTTCATGTAGGACCTAAAAGAACCACATTACACCAGTACATCTGATAGATTTTAGTTTGTTGAACAAGGAGCCACAAAAGTTAGCTGTGGAGTTCCCCTTGGCTCTGTGCTGGGACCTCTACTTTTATTAGAAAAACAGATATCCATGGCTACGCAGACGTTATAAATTCATACAGCAGCTGAGAATGCAGCATGTACAAACTGTATACTGGAGTACCAGCATGACAAAGAAACAGATAACTTGGATGTGATGAAGCTGCTGCTGTCAGATACATGCTGTGTATGCTAAGCTAACCTTAGCGTGCTGATTGACGCTGTCAACATCCTGAGTACTTTGAATAGAAATTAGTTGAGGCATCAGAGCGATACATAAAGAAAAAGGTGCAAAGAGCACATTTCATTAGTGATTTCTGTTGTAAAAGAATAACTGACTGCAGCTGCTCAATATTAACTGCATTTATCTTTTCCTTAAATATTTCAACTCCACTGAACTTTTTCTCAACCTCTTATTCCTGATTTTGATCCTTTCACACAGTATTTTCAGAAATGTTCTACCTTCTTTACATTCATCTCACAGCTTTGAACACTGCCAGCAGCAGAAAGCACAAAGAAAGCAGCAACTCAGAATGAAATTATAGAATCACATTCAGAGAAAAATATCATTTCCATGGTCTTTACTAGAACTGCTTCCATCGGTGGGGAAAAGTAATCAGAACTCAGTCTGTTCGTCTTACAGCTGATCCATTTTTGACAAGCTGGAACCAAATTAGAACCAAACTGGGATCAAAGTGGTTCGTAGGTTCATTCGGCTCCTCCACTGCTTCCAGAAAAAAACAAAAAGCTGCCAGGTGTCTGAGAAACGCCGGCGTACACGTTCGATTTCACCCCACTGATGATTTGAGTCACTTCGACTTGAAGACTGCATCCCAGTCCAGAGGTTCAGATCCAGCTATGTCGCTCTTTGGGATGGACGGGAAGAAGGACTGCATCTTCTGTCTGAACTCTGGGAGCTGAAACATACCAACAAAAAAGAAAAAACAGATAAAGACAAGAATGCGAACTTTTCATATTCTTTCAGTAAATTGAATATTTGATAACATTAAAATGTGCAATTATTTTATTTTTCTAAATAATTTAATTTTACAACTTGATTTTTCTTTATTAAGAAAGTTTTAATTTGCTTAGTTTTACGAAGTCTAACTTTCTCATCTACATCAACTACTCTCTCTTTCCTTATACACTTTCTTCCTGGAATGAAATGACTTAAGACCTTTTTTTTTACTTTAACAACTAAAATTCGTTCTCAGAATTTTAGTTCAACACTTTCTTCTGAAAATGTTTCAAACATTATGTCCAAATTGTAATTTTATTGGTAGGATTGTAGAAATTATTCATCAATAAATTGCCTTTATTTCACAAAATTTATTTTTGTTCCTCTCAGAGACTATAATCCTTAAAGAAAAGTTCAGGTAAAGAGGTGATAAAATCCTGACTGAATAAAGGTCATTATTTATGAAATAAACATAAAAGTCAGCACTGAGCCGTTTGCGGGTACATACGCTGTGAACGCCGAGGACTTTCCACACGCTGAAGCCGAGCAGGCCTACTCCACACCAGGCGAACAGCGAGCCCCACCCCAGAGCTCTGAGGGCCAGAGATGCGCCGCTCTCCGGGACTGCTGCCGTCGCTGTGACGCCCTGAACAGGAAACAAGCAGGGAAAAAATCTGACATCAGGTTTTACAGCTGCATTTGGTCTTACGGGAATTCTCCAAAAGTTGATTCTGTTCATCTGGACGTAGCGTTTTCAGTGGGAGAAACGTTTCCCCGTTTCTTACGGGAATTATTTCTCCCAGAAGCTGTGAAATTACTTTTACAGCCAAAAACGTGAGGGAATTCAACAAATAGCTGAAACGGACGTTAAAGTGTCAGCTGCATGTCCGGTTGGTGGAGCAGAGTGAGGTCATCCTCTCTGTCACATGATGGAGGAATCTGAACTGTGCTGAACCAAACTGGAACAATTCCAACAAACATGAACCCCTTCCAGCAGCTCACAGATAAATATCACAGAATCACAGAAATGTTTTTGCAGCATGTCCTGGACTGCGTCAGCTCTCGGTCTGTGCCGTCCCTCCACATCACTTCCTGCTGCATCCTGAAGCCCGGTTCGATCACATGTGGTCCGAGCGTGGCAATCTCTCTCGTTTTAACGCATCAGCTCCCGGTGCTCCCTCTCGCCGAGCTCATCCGCTTCACACCTCATGATGATCGCTTGGACGGCTCCAGCTCTAAAAGAAAAACATCTCTGTAGCTCCTCAAGGCTAACTGGCCTAGCAGTAGAAGTGGCAGCACGATCTCCTCGTTAAGCTTCTCTGGGGCCAAGAGTGCAATGTAAAGCAAAAAAAAACCTATAGTAGATCTGTAAAACCTGTCTTTATAGAAAAATAAGTAACTTTCACCCTCAGAGTGAGCAAAAAAAATCCAAGAGCTGCTGCTGAAGGTCACCAATCAGACAAACCTGAAGGGTTCTCGAAAACTAACTTCAGCTCTTCACTCAGGTGTTTTGGTGACTCATGGCTAACAGGTGCTTGAAGCTCTGAGTGACATCAGGTTAACTCCTTCAGTGTGAAAATGACCCATACAATCGCCATGAACTGCAATAGTGTTACACCATTATCTCGTTTTAATGGATGCTCCAGTGCTCAGGTTCTCCAATTCTTCAACAGTTTGGTGCTGGTGGCCATTATTTCCTCAGAAGGAAATCTGAGGAAAAAATAAAAGCTCATCTGTGCAAGATGTTCTCTACACACCTCCATCACCTCCCTGAAGGATTTACAACCTCCATGTTTGAGGACAGGAAGCACAGGTGACGTCTTTCCTTTTCAGCTGAAACGGAGTAAAAGCTGCACTTTAATGACCTCAACCCTCTAATCAGATTTTACATTTCCTAACTGAAGCTCAGCCTGAGGCTTCGATTCAGAGACGACCACAAAGACGAGTCTGTGACTGAAATAGATCCGTCTGTGCTTCCACGCCAAGTTTATCTCACATGTGCGTCAGCATTAATCGGATCCCGCCAGTCGCCAATAACTCAAACAGCTGTGGCTGCCACGCGCCAGGACTTCACGGAAAGTCTATTTTCAGGTCGAGACGAGTCAGGAGGGAAGGCGGACGTCATCGCAGATGTGCGGACAGCCATCGATTGTCTTCAGGAGGCTGAGGCCGTAAACAAGCTGCTGTTAGCATCGGTAGCTTCTCACGCAAGCACCGCTGAAACCTCCGAATGGATGGGAAAAGGACCGGAAGTAGTGTGTGCCATCCATCAGATCCTCAGTCCAGCTACATTTTCAAGTTAAAATATCCACAATTTTTAAGTTTCCAAAGACTGATGATTAGCCTCAGCTCAATAAAATTATAAATACTGCCAGCGCTGCCTCCAAGTAGACACACCTATGGCATTAATTTCAAAATCCTGCATCATCGTATCGCATTCACAACATTTTAGGGAAACTTGACGTCTGACCTTGAGGTCGATGTCGAGGTCACTGAGATTTGAAATTTAGTAGGTAACAATTTGAAGCATCTACGTCACCTCGTTTTTCACAAACTTTGGTGTCCACGCCGCCCACCCGCCGGGTGACAACGTTACTCCTACCTTTTAACAAGTCAAAAATATGGAGATTCTCTGTGAGGTTCTGCAGTTAGAACGTTTTCCTGCTGTTTCTCAGAGGATTTATAGATGTTTATTAGTGATGACAATCTACAAATGTGTGCTTCATGAATGAGTTTCTGACTGAGTTATGATTCTGAGAGAGAAACAAACACCTGCACTGTGAGCTCAGGTTAAGTTTACCTTGTTGAACCACTCCGGGCTTTTCTTCTTGGCGAGCGCCAATGTGGAGCCGAATCCTGCGATCATCCCTGCGGACGCCACCGTAGTCAGAAATGCTGCACCTGCACACAGGAAGTGATCTCACTCAGGTGAGAAATCGCCACAAGTTCACAACCACTCCATTAAAGCAGACACAGGACATGCTTCTACATGTAGCTTCTCAAATGTAAACAGCAAAAAACCTTTAGGAGAAAGAGTTAGAGTGGCTAACAGGTGCCACTCTGAAGTTTCACCTTACAGTCTGAATCTTTTTGCACAGCTGCTGATGTACAGGGTGGGCCATTTATATGGATACATCGTAATAAAATGGGAACGGTTGGTGATATTAAAGTCCTGTTTGTGGCACACTAGTATATGTGAGGGGGCAAACTCCTCAAGATGG